CAAATTTCATCATGATGAGAGATTTGATGGAGCTGGTAGATCAATAAATGAATCGTTAACAGTTTTGATTAATGGGTAGGTTTTTCTAATATTGGTCATTAGTGGGGTTTTTAAATAAGTAATTTATTTATTTTTGGCTTCATTGGGTCTTTGTTGCTGTGCGTGGGCTTTAGTTGCGGCGAGCGGGGGCTACTCTTCATTGTGGTGTGCAGGCTTCTCATTGCGATGGCTTCTCTTGCTACGGAGCACAGGCTCTAGGCACACAGGCTTCCGTGGTTGTAGCATGCAGGTTCAGTAGTTGTGGCTCACTGGCTGTAGAGAGCAGGTTCAGTAGTTGTGGTGTGCAGGCTTAGTTGCTCTGTGGCATGTGGGATCTTCCTGGAGCAGGGCTTGAACCCATGTCCCCTGCACTGGCAGGCAGATTCTTACCCACTGTGCCACCAGAGAAGCCCCGGTCATTAGTGTTTATATAGTTGAAAGACGATGATTTTCATGGCATTGGCCATGGTTACATTCCACATAAGAATAATCATGACATATGCTGGATTTATTTTAAGTACATTTTGGTAGTTAGTTTTGAAGGTTTTCCTTCAAAAGCTTCTCTTACTTATAGCGGGCTTGGGTTGATTAATTGGTTGTGGTATTGTAATAAGTTTTGGTGGGTCCTCTTTGAGCTTAATGGTTTTTAAGTTTATTTAGGGGGACTGTTGTTAGTTTTTGTTTATACAACAGCTATGCCTACGGAGCAGTAGCCTGAGGCTTGTGTTTCTAACAAAACTGTCTTAGGGCTATTTCTTTTGGGGTTGATAGTGGGGCTTGCAGTGATCCTTTTGCTTAAAAAGTTGAGGAGCAGGGATTGTGTTTAAGTTTAATGGGTTGGGAACTGAGTAATTTATGCTACAGGAGATCCCGACTTTTTATGAGGAAGCTACAGGAACGCTGTGTGGTGTAGTTACGGCACGTGACTGGTGATTGTTACGGGTTGGTCACTGCTTATTGGTGCTCTGGTTATGATGGAGATTACCCGTGGACATTAAATAGGGTTGTACTTAAGTGTAACGAGGAAGGAGAGCAAACGTAATTTAACTGGGCCTATACGTGTCTGCCGCAGGCTGTGAATAATAGCTTTGGAAGTTATACAGAGCGTGGCTTTGAAGAATGCACGTGTGAAGGTGTGGAGGCGTGCTAGGCAGGGTTTTCGCTGTCGGTAGTTAGTGCTATGAGGCCTAGTTGACTTGAGAGGAGTATATACACTGAGGCAGTGATGAATGTATTGACCCCATTAGGACGATGGGGATGTTGGATCCTGAGAAAGATGACGTTACTGCACCCGAGCAAGGGCGCTTGTCCCCCTCGGAGCAGAAAGTAACTCTTGACAGCAGGTGTCTGCAGCAAAGAAAGGGTTTATTTGCAGGCTTTAAACAAGGGCATGAGCGACAAGCCTCAGATCCACTCAGACCAACTCAGATAAGCTTCCGACCAACTTGATCTTTGAGGGGATTTTTTAAAAAGGGGAACAAAGAAAGAAACTGGGATTCATCATCGTTTTGTGACATTTCTGTGACATTTCTGAATCTAGTTTCAGGAGTCAGGCTGTCTCTGGTTTACATTCTCAGGCCAGGCGGTCCATGGCTGGGGGGTCTGTGAGCTCATCTTGCCCTGGAGAAACAACCTGAGTGTGTATTAACGATGGTGTCTACAATGGCAATTTCAGTACATTAGCGATGTTATCAACAGCAGCCATCTTAGTCACCTGACTCTGGTTGATTAGTGCTCAGTTAGCACAGGATTGAGGTCAGAGGGAACAAGAAAGGGAATAAAGTTTTGGGTGGAGAGACGAATCATGAACTCAGTAAGGGAACTCGGCTTTAGGGGGACTTGGTGTCACTACTACAAATAACTGTCTAATTAAGCTGATTGCTGGCGGCAGGGCTGCGTTTGTAAGCCTTGTTAATAGTCATCATCGCCATTAGTGGAAGAAATGTTTAGGCCACGGGCTAAAATTATGGTACGGCTGTGAATACGTTCGTGATTTGAATGTGCCAAGCAAAATAGTATAGATGACGTGAGGCCACGAGCAGTTCTAAGCCCCTGCAACATCAAGGTGTCGGGTAAGAGCAGCTACGCTGCCAGTGCCGCCTGCGGAGGAGCAGCGGTGAGTGACTTTCCGTCTGTTTGGTGCACGTGGGTTGAGCTGTTATAATTATTCCTCATTAGGATGATGTAAGGATTGGATCTGCCCTGTGGCTTTAAGGGGTTTGGGAGTTTGGGTGCTGCGGCTGCAGGAACCGTAGGTAGATCCCACCGTCGGGGCTTCTACACCCACCGTGCAGTCAGAGGTGTAGCGCCTAGAGGGATGTTTTTACTGTAAAAGCTATTGTGTATGTTAATCGTATGAAAATATTGAATCGAGAGTCAGATGTTGCTTGGGTTCGGTACTGGATCATTAAAAAGTTTGGGGAGGGCTTCCCTGGTGGCGCAGCGGTTAAGAATCCACCTGCCAATGCAAGGGGCACGGGTTCGAGCCCTGGCCTGGGAAGATCCCACATGCCGCGGAGCAACTAAGCCCGTGCGCCACAGCTACTAAGCCTGAGCTCTAGAGCCCACGAGCCACAGCTACTGAGCCCGCGTGTCACAACTACTGAAGCCCGCGTGCCTAGAGCCCATGCTCTGCAACAAGAGAAGCCACGACAATGAGAAGCCCACGCACCGCAACGAAGAGTAGCCCCCGCTCGCCGCAACTAGAGAAAGCCTGTGCACAGCAACGAGGACCCAACGCGGCCGAAAAGAAAAAAGTTTGGGAACCAGTGATATTTCCGAGGAGTCCAGCAGCTGCGGCTGAGGGCCCAGCAGGCAGGGTGGGCTGGGACGCCCTCCGGCTTCCATCCAAGCAGTCAGCCCCGCTTGGGGTCCCATGCCCCTGGGTGACAGAGCCCAGGGCCAGGGTGGGGCGGAGGCTGTGCAAGTTCCAGCGTGTGGAGAGGTAGGGCTGCGTCAGGTGGCTGGAGTGGGCAGAAGTCGGGTGCTGGGGCGAGTCATGCGTGTGACACACAGGTGGACTCAGTCACCTCGCCAGCCCAGTCAGGATCCCGGCCCTGACCTCTGTCCAGACACGCCCACACAGGGGCCATAAAGCCTCGAGAGAGAGGAGAGGGCAGGGAGAACGAGGACCGGACGTCTGGATCCCTGGGCCGCTGGCTAGCTAGGTCTGCAGCTGCAGGTCCCCCAGAGCGCCGTCTACACTGAGGAGGGGACCCTAGCATGAGGAGGTAATGCCCAGCGCCTGCAAACCCGGGTCCCCACCCAAACACCCCACCCACAGCTTTGCTGTGTGGTCACTTGGGTCCAGGAGCCCTGGACTCAGGGAACAGCCCCTGGGGCACCTGGGTCCCCAGCACAGGCTGGTTTCAGGTGGGAGTCGGGGCTCTGTCTGCAAACCAGTGTCTGGCTGGTTCCCAGGAGCGCTGGCTCCTCCCAGGTGTTAAGGGCTTGGGGACAGATCTCTCCCTCCCGAGTCCTCCAGAACGATTGTAGCCCCTGGATTCCAGCTCCAAAGGCCACCCCTGTGGCTCCTGAGAGAGACCACTGTCCCTTGGGATCCCTTGACCCTGTGGAGAGTCACCCGGGAGCCCCTGTAAGCAGGTGGGAGGCACCAGGGCCAAAGAAGGCAGGTCTGTGACTGACGAAATGAAAGTGGGGGTCAAGACGCTGAGACGGGGCTGGAGGCTGGGGGGCGATGCGGGCGGGGCAGCTGGAGCCCAAGGGGTCGTCACCCCGGGAGCTGGGGTGTGAGGCCTGGGGAAGCACTGGGGCTCCTCCAGGACCCAGAGGTCAGAGGCCATTTCTCCTGAGGGGGTCTCCCTCCGCCCCCTCCACCTGTGGCAGGGGTGGGGGGGCCCCTCCCCCTCTAAGCCAGAGCTCTCCCCGGCCCTCCTGTCCTGGGGGTTTCTCCTAGGGACCCCAGCGTGGACCAGGGGCGGGCTGATCAGCGACATGGGGACCTCTTGGTGTCCAGAGCCTCTGTCTAGGGAGAAGCAGGGTAGCAGACCAGACTGGGCCAGGAGCTGTGGCTCCAGTGCCCTGCAGTCCAGGGCAGGCCCCTGCCCTTTGCCCCCTGGGAGTGCAGGGGGACCTCCACCCCAAAGTGCTGAGTCACCCGGAGGAGCGAAGGTCTTTGTGGGGCTGGAATCGGGGCATCAGGCAGGAAGCCTTGATGGGCCGCCCCTGCCCCCTCCCCCCAGCCACGTGCTCCCAGCCCGGCCCAGCTGCGGAACAGAAACCTTCCTGCCCACGGACTGACACTGCCGGGAGATAGATGCACTGAGGCGTGTCAAACATTCGGAGTTTATTTAAGCAAAACTCGATTCAAATCGGGGCGGCATCCAATCTAGCAGATAGAAAGGAGCTCCAAGGAGCTGTACAGAGTGAAAGACTTCTACGGGCCGGGGGTGGGGAGGTGGGGTGAACAAGTAAGTTCCTGTAAGCGAAGGGCACTGGTTGTGGTCGGGTCACCTTCCTTCAGGGGAAGGCAGGGCCGCGAGTGACCCCTGGCGGTTCCGGATTGTCTGGCTCAGGATATTCCATCCCGGGGAGGGGAGGGAGGGGAGGGGAGATAAGGGAGGGCAGGGCAGGGCAGGGCAGGGCAGGGCAGGGCCCACCCTGTACTGAGGCCTCAGTTTGGTGATGAAGGCTCTCAGCCCAGCAACTCCACTGAGGGCCTGTTGTCTTGTATTTTAATAATGCAAAAGACACGGGGCACATGCACACCACACACGCGCACGCTACGCACACCCACACCACGCACGCGGCAATGCACACGCACAGGCACGCGCGGGTACCCTAACCGCACGCCACGCATCCCCGCCGCAGTCAGCCCCGGCCATCCTCTGCTCTCCCGACCCGGCCTGTCTTGGGTGAGGCCTCCTCGCTGCTGAGTCCCTTGGTTGCCTTCTGTCCTGTGCGTCCCTCCACACTTCCTGCCTTCGGCCATTGCTCCTCAGAGCCCCTGCTTGGGCTGGGTCCTCGAGCTCCTTGAGGTCACGCTAGACATGTCCCGGCGGAGCACCCCATCTTCCCTGCCCCTCCTGGGCTTCCCGCCCAGGTAACAGCCCCGGCGTCCACCCATGGCTCTGGGACAGAGTGAAGTGCCACTTGCCTCTGAGGAGCCACGGGCACAGCCTCAGGGGTGCTGCGGGCTTGAGCGCCTGCCAGCTAAGCCCCAAGCCCGTGCCCCATCAGTGCTACAGCCCCACTGAGCCAGGCCCCGACGGTGCAGCCGGCACAGGCCGCGGAGCCAGAGGCAATGCTGGGACCACCAGATCCACGCGGTAACCCGGGCCTGCAGGGTGGGGTCCGAGGGCCCGGGAGCAGGTGTGGGCCTGTGGAGGCCCCGTCTCTGTGCCTGCGTGGCCTGCTGTGTGACGTGGGGGACAGTAAACCACATGTGGACCCGGTCAGGACCCGGCCCTTGGCGCCCCTGGCTGGACGGTGGCCGGCCCTGCCAGGCGCCACGTCTGGAGGCCGCGGGGCGGAGGCAGAGCCTTGCCTGCCTCTCAGTCTCCTCCCTGGCCCTCAGGCTCCTCCTGATCACCAGCCTGGGGGCGGCGTTTCTGCTGCAGGCGAGCTCGGCATGGACCCCCCAGGTACGCGCGGCTCCTCACCCAGCCGCCCGCGGCTTCCGCCCTCAGCCCCACCAGCAGGGGGTGGAGAAAGGCACCAGCCGGCCTAGGGCAGGGAAGGCGTGGCACCCATGGGACTGCAGGTCCTGTGCACCGGGCGGGCCCATGGGCACTGGGGGGACCCTCAGGATGAGGGGAGCGGCCCCTCTGCGGGGTCTGATGGACAAGCCTCAACCACCCCCGGTGAGCCAGGTGGACGAGGGGGCCTGATGACGCCCACCTGTGCTGTGAAGCCCAGGGCACCTCCGCATGCAGGGCTGCCCAGGGGCCAGGACTGTGCTGGGGCCGTGTTCTTCACCAGCCCTACACCCTGGGATGCCAGGTGAAGAGGGAGACACAGGAGGACCGGCACAGCTGTCCCACAGCTGCCAGGCACCGGTCACTGGGCGGGGCCACCCGTTTCATTTGCTCGCCTGCCCCACTGGCCCCACCAGCAAGTGCGGGCCGACGGACCGGCCCCCCTCCTCAGGCCGCCAGGGGAGGTGGTGCACGTATAGACCCCATGCTGCCCCCAAGCCTCCCCCAGAGCCACATGGCCTCCAGCCCGTCCCCAGAGGAGGACCCTTGGAGGGCCACACTGAGCCTCACCTGCGACCTCTCTCTCCCAGGTCCTCGTCCAGACCAAAGGCAAAGCTGGGGCTGAGCAGGGCACAGAGGAGTGAGTGTCCCCGGCAGCCTCTTGCGCCTTCCCCTGCTGTGCCCCCTTCGGGTCTGCCTTGAGCTGGGGGCCTTCATGCATGGAGGGGGGATCCTGTCCAGCAGCTTTGGGGAGGGGAGGCACGGGAGCCCCTGAGATCCGTGAGCAACTGAGCAGAGCGCAGGGCCTGGAGGATCCAGTCCCCCCTCCTGCCCTGCCCAGCTCCCCTGCTCCCCTGTAGCCTCCAGAGTGGCTCCCGCCCGGGGTGGCCGAGGCAGCAGACTGAGCCAGCCGTGCCCCCTTCCCGTACCCACGTGAGACAGCGGTCCAGGCAGGAGGACGCAGCACCGCCTGTAGACTGGGCTCCGCTGATCTCTGCACAGGAGGGAGCCCCGGCCAAGCCCACGGAGCCTTCTCAAGGCCCCCCCCTCAGGGACCTTCCCGGGCCCGACGTCATGGGGACGCCTGGCCTGAGGGTCTGGGTTGGGGGTGGGGCAGGGGTGCTGTCCTGGGGTCTCCCGCTGTGCACGGTAACCTGACCCAGACGCTCTTGCTACAGGGCCTGGGGCGCCCGAGCGGTGGAGCCTCTGGAGGAGGACAGCCAGCTCACGTGGCTCTTCATGGCACCAAAGCTCTTGGCCGCCACCGGGGAGAAGCGGCAAGGTCAGGGCAGGCACTGCCCCCTGGGGAGGGGGACGCAAGGTCAGGGCAGGGGGCTCGCAAGGGGCCCACTTGGACGAGTGAAGCCTCGGGAGGGAAACTGAGGCCACACTTCCCTCTGTCTGTCCCTAGGTGCCGAGGCCCTGGCAGAGACCGAGGACACCCTGGGCCGTGTCCCAAGCCCCAGGTGGGGCCCTGAGCCTGACTATGACAGCCTGCACCACAGCTGGCCCGAGGAGGCCCAGGGGGAGGCAAGGCCCTGGGCTCGGGTGCTGCCGCCTCAGCAGGTGCTTCAAGGGCCAGAGGAGGACCGAGACCACATCTACCACCCCAAGGAGGACCCCTGGGATTCTTGACCGTGCCCCCCCGCCGCCAGCTGCAAAAATAAACCCTGCAAAGAGGCGGCGGCCATATGTGTCTTCAAGAACAGTGATTGTGGGCCCCGCCTGCTCTGTCTGGGAGAAGGGGGGGCCCCAGGCTGGCCCCAGGCGGCCCCAGGCTGACGCTTGGCTCCTTGCACCCAGCGCCCATGCGCTGGGAGCCGTCTGCTTCCCCCAGGCCTCCTCATGTGCTGGGGTGCAGACGGAGCTTCTCTGGGCTCCCCGCGGACAGGACCGGAGAATGGAAGGGACTCGGGAGCAGGGAGCCCAGTCGCTGACTGCTCATGGGGACGGGGGGACAAGTGGACAGGTGCTTAGGGGATGGAAGGGACTCGGGAGCAGGGAGCCCAGTCGCTGACTGCTCATGGGGACGGGGGGACAAGTGGACAGGGGCTCAGGGGGACGGGGGGACAAGTGGAAAGGTGCTCAGGGGGACGGGGGACAAGTGGACAGGTGCTCAGGGGGACGGGGGACAAGTGGACAGGTGCTCAGGGGGACGGGGGGACAAGTGGACAGGTGCTCAGGGGGACGGGGGACAAGTGGACAGGTGCTCAGGGGCACAGCAGGCAGGTGCACAGGTGAGTGGGGGTGGACTTGGGCCCAGCCTTTCTGTCCTCATTTTCTGGGCAGTTGCCGGCGCTCTCTGAGGTGACCAGTCCTCTGACACGGCCTGGCTCAGCAAGCCTGATGTTGCAGACGCAGGTATAGGGTCACTGGAATTTTCCACAAGTTGTACATGTGCTGGGGTGTGTGCAAGTGCAGGCGGGGTTTCTGTGTGGCAATCGCGCTCCGGCATCGAGTGGGAAACACTTGGTACCTGAAACTTCCCCGCCGCCCAGACTGAGCCTGCTGGGGGCTAAGACAGAACGAGGCGCCTGGCTGCTCCAGAGACCGTGGGTCTGTCCTGGGGACCTCACGTGCCCTACAGGTTCTATGTCACCCCACGGGTCCCAAGGTCCCGGAGGCCGCAAATGGCAGCCTCACCCCAAGATACGCTGCTCAGAGGCATACGTGCCTCCTGGCTTCGAGGCCCCACAGACAGAAGCTCTTTTGCCCCCAGTACCAACGAGGAGACTGAGGCCCCGGCGGTGACCTGCTCAGACCCGAGGTCGATGGTGGCCATGGCCCTGGGCAGCCCAGGGTGGTGTTCGTGGCCAAGTCTCTCTCCAGCCCTGCTGGAGCCAGGTCCCCATTGGGCACTGCCTGCCCCGAGGGCACAGCCAGAGACCCACAGGAGCAGGGGACTTGGGGGTGAGCAGGAGACACTGGCAGAGGCCACACGCTGGCTCAGCCCCCTGTGACCCCCGCCCCCCAAACTCGCATGCGCACTGCCGCTGCTCACCCTTCTACAGAAGGTGCTGAGCGTGGACCCCCTGCCTCTGCTCCCCGGCATCACTAGGCAGTGCTGCCTCTGCAGAGTGACCGCTGCTGGGTGAGGCATCCAGGCAGGGAATAAGACACCTGAGGTCCTTCCCGGGAGCTGCAGCCCTGGATTCCCTGATGTGGTGGTCCTGCTGGGGACCCTGGACGCTGCACCTGCCGGGGACCCTGGACGCTGCACCTGCTCCACCTCTTGGCCAGGAGGTGCCCAGAGACCCTCATCCCCACACACCTGAGCAGCCCTGAGCCACAGGGCAGCTGTGACCCACTGCACCTGTGGAATATTCTTCCTCAGTGGACGGCTGGCAAGGGTGGTCTGTGCTCTTCCCTGAGTCTGAGCATTTGGCTGAACCCAAGACCCTTCTGGTGGGCACTGGGGCTCCCCAGCAAGAGCCTGGACTAGTGGAAAGTACTGTCATACTGTGACTTATAATCAGAAATGTGCGTGGTCTTCATCCCTGATGCTGGCACCCTTGGAATTTCCTGAGTGATGGGCGTGATAAAGTTGTCCTTTGCTGTGTGACTGAGGTGACTCTGGGAAGGTCCCTAAGGGTGGGGCCAGTTGCAGGGAAGTGACCAGGAATAGAGGTTTGGAACCTCCAGCCCCACGCCCAGACCTCGGGGAGGGGAGAGGGGCTGGGGGTCAGATCAGTCGCCAGTGGCCAGTGACTGAATCAAACAGCCTGTGTAGTGAAGGCTCCACAGAAACCCAGAAGGATGGGTCTGGAGAGCTTCGGGGTGGTGAGCACGTGTAGGTGTGGGGAGAGGGGTGCTGGAGAGGGCACGGAAGCCCCTCCCCGTACCTCGTCCACCTGGCTGGTCCTGAGTCCTATCCTTTTAGGATAAGCAGTGATCTAGGGAGTGAATGTTTCCCTGAGTTCTGTGAGCTGCTCTAAAAAACTAACTGAGACTGAGGAGGGGTCAAGGGAACCCTCTATCTACAGCCAGTCGGTCAGAAGCCCGGGTGCCCCCCTGGACTTGGGACTGGCATCTGGAGTGGGGGCATCGTGGGGGGCAGTCCTGTGGGACTGAGCCCTGAACCTGTGGGATCTGACACGTCCCTGGGCAGGGGGTGTCAGAACCAAGCGGACTGCAGGACACCGGCTGGTGCCGAGGGGCTGCCTGGCGGTGGGGGGAGCCCCCTGCCCTTCCCCCCCGACACACAGTGGAATTGGTGACTGGAATCATTAAACGCCCTAGTGCCAAAATGTGCAAGAGATTGACCACTCATGTCACCAAAGAAAACAGAAGGCACACACACCCATGAGAAGATGTTCAACGTCATTAACGATCAGAGAACTCACCGCTACAGTCCCCTTAGAGCGGCTCACGGGAAAGACGGGCAGCCAGGATGAGGGCCAGGGGATGGAATGCACATTCCCAGGGCTGGGGATGTAAACCAGCTCAACTGCTTTGGAAACGGTTTGGGAGTTTCTTACAAAGTCACATATACACACGCCCTACGGCCGAGCCTTGACCAGAGGTGTTTGCTCCAGAAATGAAGGCTTGTGTCCACGCAGACTTGTGCGGGTACGTTCACAGCAAGCTTATCTGCGATAGCCAAGAGCTGAAAGCAACCAGGCGCCCCCCAAGAGCTGCCTGGATGGAACACAGCAGCGCGTGCACAGCAGAATCCCGCTCTGCAGCAAAGTGGAATCATCGATGCACACAGCGCACGCAAACACACACACCCCACCCCACCGCGAGCACGCAGAGGGCATGCACGGCCTTCCACTTACACGGAATTCTGCAAAGTGCACATTGACCAGCAGGGAGGGGGGTGGACCAGTGGGGGCAGGGCAGAAGGGGGGGGATGGAGGTGCTGGTCCAACACCCAAATGAATTTAACTGAATGCTTTAAACGTGAACAGCTTACTTACTGCGTGTCAATTCAACCTCAATAAAGCTGTTTCAAGAGAGGCCCGTGTGTGGCTGGAAGCAGTTGGCCGTGGGGTCAGGGGTCTGAGATCAGCCCCGGCAGTGGCGGGCCCAGAACATGGTCCCTTCCCCAGGCTGAGTCCCAGACCTCCGCCCAGTGGACCTATCTGCCTTCCAGGCCACCAGCCCCTGGTCCTCACCATGGGAGCCTCCCCAGAGCCCTGGGGATGCCTGGTCATCCCAGCTCCCACGCCCACGTGCTGTGAGAAGGTCTGGAGGAGCAGGGAGGGACCCTGTGCAATGGCCAGTGGGAACCCCGCCCACCCCGGGAGGCCCAGTTTGAGAACGTGCCGGGAAGCCGTCGCAACCTCACAGGCCCCCTTTGCCTGGGTGCCTCGTGTCCTCCTGTCCTCTACCCGCCGCCCCGGCCATCCCCAGACCCACTTGGGCTCATGCGTATTCAGTAGGTGCTCAACCACCAGAGCGAGGGAACACAGGCACCGGGCCCAGCGCCCCCCACCCCAGCTGACGGTGTGGTCAGCTCCCGGAGGCCCCAGACCAGCCTCTGGGGCTGAAGGAACAACCCCGGCCCCCTCTTCAAGGGCCACCTTAGTGACTGCAGCCCACTCAGGGCTGCCTGGGTAGCTGATGCACCCACCCCCAGGCCCCCTGCCGTGTGCTGCGTCACCCAGGCCCCTGCCCAGGCCCTCTGTGCCATCTCCCCACGCGAGGGTGTCGACCTGTGTGAACTCTCATCCCAAACCCAGGGACTTGCCAAGTCAGGTGACCCAAACCTATCGGGAGGAGGGAGGCCTTACTTCCCACCTGAGGGTTCACTGAGAGTGGGTGGGGTCTGCCCTCCGGGGATCCCACAGCTGCTGTTGCACTCAGCACAAAACAGGCCTTTGTGAGTGAAGATGGAGCTCCTGTTTAAACCTTCGGACTGTATGTTGGCAAGTCACTGCACTTTTCCATCATTTTCCTGAACTGGGATGATGCCAGCCCTGGTCAGCAGAGGCCCCCCCAGGACCCACTGGGCCCCCGGAGCCCCTGGCTGGGTGAGCTTTGAGCGCTGCCGGGCAGGGCCAGGCCAGTTCATCTGCCGCTGGACACGCCTGCTGGTGGTGGCGTCGGGCTCAGGGTTCCAGATCCTTCTCTGGGCGGGTGGTCTTCAACAGGCCTGGAACAGGGCATCGGGGGCCGGCAACCCCTTCTTGAGGATGAGGTTTCCGTAGAGGGCCGCCTCCCTGCGTAAGGAGCAGGCTGAGTGCCGAGCTGGGATGGAGAGGTCTGGGGTGCCCAGAGGCCTGCTCTGCCACCCACCCTGTGCACTTTCAGCAAATCCCTCCGCTCTGCCATTCCCCGTGGGGCATCTAGTCTCCGACGGGGCAGGGGCTGAGCAGAGGGTGGGGAGGGCTCTGCGGTGGGAAGGGGTAGGGCCCCAGGCTCGGCCCAGATGCAGCCGGACCCAGCCAGACCCAGGAGGACCCAGTGGACCCAGTGGGTCCAGCCAGAGCTCACCCAGTTGTCACAACAGCAAAAGCCTTTCTGGTCCACTCATAAAACTCAAATCTCTCTATCGTGGCCAGGGGGCTCTGGAAAGCAAGGGGGGACGGTTGAGGGCCCCAGGCCCAGTGGGGCATCAACAGATTCTCCAAGCTGGGATCCCCAGGACGCTGGGCTCCTGACCTGTGAGGGCTGGGCAGACAGGTGCACAGGGGGCTGTGGTGGCCGCCTGCCTGGGGCCCTTGAATCGTCTGAGCTGCCCTGGGGGTCGAGGCGGGGCTGCTGTCCAAGACAGGAGCCCCGGGTCCTCTCTTCAGGAAGGTCCTGCCCAATACCTGCTGGTGGGTGGTCCTGGGAGGACAGGCCCGGCCCCTTGAAGGGTGGGGGGCTGACAGGCAGCATTGGGCCAGGCCTCTGACCACAGATGGGGGCCAGGGGTTCCCCACTTTCCCCTGGCTCCGCTCGGACAGGCTGGGGTGGGTGAGGACCCCCGGGCAGAGATAGGTCAGGGTCCTGGAAGGGAGTGGGGAGGCCGGGGCAAGGGGTGGCCATACCCCCGGGTAGAAGCTCGCACAACCATGGTGCAGGGTTCGGGGGGGGGGGG